TGGTTTAACGCCCTCGGCACTGATGAGGTGACAGATTTTCTGATTTGCTGAAATGACACTTTGCTTTGTTCAGCTTTAAGCCACTGTTCCTGATGGTCTTCAGAACAGCATTTAGGTGGTTGTCGTGTTCTTTCTTAGTCTGTCCATAAACAAGAATGTCATCCATGACTACCACGACACCTTCATGGTCCTTTAGTAGTGTGGATAACTGTCTTTAAAAAACTTCTGGAGCTGATTCCAAATGGGAGTCGTCTGAAGCAGAATCTACCAATAGGGGTTATATATGTTGTCAGTTTTCTGCTCTATGGATTCAGAGGGATCTGCCAAAATCCACAGGAGGCATCAAAGGTTAAAAACACTTTAGCCCCCACCAGCTTTGGAGCAATGTCTTCCCAAGTTTGTAAGATGTAGCGCCCTTGTTTCACTGCTTTCTTTAAGCGTTTCAGATCCACACATACTCTTCATACTCACAATCGACTTGATCTCTGTTTTTTCAACAGGAACCATGGGGGCGCACTGATCAGTAGGCTCGGTAACCTCTTCTATGATGCTCAAATCTAGCATGCGCTTTAGTTCTGTTTCAACCTTCGCCAGGAGAGGGACTGGTACACGGCGAGGCGTTGTGAGGCTGTAGGGCTCTGCGTCTGCTTTCAGTTCTATTTTAACAGTGTTGCTATTAAGCAAACCAATTTCTCCAAAGACGTCACCTAGGAGGTCTGTATTCATGTTTTTGATCCTCCTGACCAGACTCATCTTCCCAGCAATGCTACCTCCCAACAGGTTGTGAGCATAGGGTCCATTTATGACAGTAACACAGAAACAGTATTTATGGTGCTTGAACTGACTTGTGGCCAGAAAATTGCCCACAAAGTGGACTTCACCTCCAGGGCTGCTAACAAGTGCCATTTTACTTGCTGTTACCCATCTTGGGCTCTTTGGCAGTCTGTAAAATGCAGCCTGAGACATCACTTTAATGTCGGCACCTGTGTCGATTTTGAATCTGACAGAACAACTTTTCATACACTAACCTCATCTTGCCAAAACTCTCCCTACAATCGCATTTAAAGGTGAAATAAATATACTTACTTTGTCCTTAAAGAAAATGTCTACCACCAATGCTAAAAGACACTATTGTTTCTGTCTCAGTGTCATTCTTAATTACCCATTATTATTTTTCAGTGCAGTGATTATTCTTTGTCTATGTTTATATCTCTATTTGATGATATAATTTAGAACTGAATAGCTTTTCTTTTTTTATTATATTTTTTTATTGCTATTTTGCACAATTTAGTATTTTTGTTGCTGAATATTTTGCAGATATATTTTATAAACATACATTTTTTTAGATTTACTGATATCTTTCTACCCCTTTTATACCAATACAATGGATTATATTTGTTCAAGCTCTCTAATGACTGTAGTCTTTGTTCACTTTACAATAAAAATAAATAAACAAAAAATAAATAAGAAACAGTAGTGAGAAGTTTAGTCTTAATTTTTTTCTTGCTTTATGTGTCAACTCTCACAGTCAGATCTATAGAATCCTGAGCCAAAACTACGGTCTCCTCATTTTCATGGACCTTGAATAGACCGGGACTTCTTCTTCTTGTGAGGTTTTATGGCGGTTGGCGAAATAGTTAAAAGTGCATTACTGCCACCAACTAATAAGGAGTTAAGCAAGACCAGATGAACCTACTGTGAGGAAAAAACTGAGAGAGCATAATGTTAGAGATAGTACTAACAGATTCTGCAGATTGGGAGAATAGAGATAGAATGAAGCAGAATGATGAAATGGGGGTCCCTATGTCCTCCAGCAGTCTAAGCCTATAGCAGCATAGCTATAGAGATAGCTCAGGATAACCTGAGCCACTCTAACTATAAGCTTTATCAAAAAGGAAAGTTTTAAGTCTAGTCTTAGAAGTAGACAGGGTGTCTGCCTTACGGACTAAAACTGGTATACATATAAAACTGGTATATATATATATATATATATATATATATATATATATATATATATATATATAAGAAGGTTCTGGGTATATATATATATATCTTTTTATATATACACTCACCGGCCACTTTATTAGGTACATCTGTCCAACTGCTCGTTAACACTTAATTTCTAAGCAGCCAATCACATGGCGGCAACTCAGTGCATTTAGGCATGTAGACATGGACAAGACAATCTCCTGCAGTTCAAACCGAGCATCAGTATGGGGAAGAAAGGTGATTTGAGTGACTTTGAACGTGGCATGATTGTTGGTGCCAGAAGGGCTGGTCTGAGTATTTCAGAAACTGCTGATCTACTGGGATTTTCACGCACAACCATCTCTAGGGTTTACAGAGAATGGTCCGAAAAAGAAAAAACATCCAGTGAGCGGCAGTTCTGTGGGCGGAAATACCTTGTTGATGCCAGAGGTCAGAGGAGAATGGCCAGATTGGTTCGAGCTGATAGAAGGGCAACAGTGACTCAAATAACCACCCGTTACAACCAAGGTGGGCAGAAGAGCATCTCTGAACGCACAGTACGTCGAACTTTGAGGCAGATGGGCTACGGCAGCAGAAGACCACACCGGGTGCCACTCCTTTCAGCTAAGAACAGTAAACTGAGGCTACAATTTGCACAAGCTCATCGAAATTGGACAATAGAAGATTGGAAAAACGTTGCCTGGTCTGATGAGTCTCGATTTCTGCTGCGACATTCGGATGATAGTGTCAGAATTTGGCGTCTACAACATGAAAGCATGGATCCATCCTGCCTTGTATCAACGGTTCAGGCTGGTGGTGGTGGTGTCATGGTGTGGGGAATATTTTCTTGGCACTCTTTGGGCCCCTTGGTACCAATTGAGCATCGTTGCAACGCCACAGCCTACCTGAGTATTGTTGCTGACCATGTCCATCCCTTTATGACCACAAAGTACCCAACTTCTGATGGCTACTTTCAGCAGGATAATGCGCCATGTCATAAAGCTGGAATCATCTCAGACTGGTTTCTTGAACATGACAATGAGTTCACTGTACTCAAATGGCCTCCACAGTCACCAGATCTCAATCCAATAGAGCATCTTTGGGATGTGGTGGAACAGGAGATTCGCATCATGGATGTGCAGCCGACAAATCTGCAGCAACTGTGTGATGCCATCATGTCAATATGGACCAAACTTCCTGAGGAATGCTTCCAGCACCTATGCCACGAAGAATTGAGGCAGTTCTGAAGGCAAAAGGGGGTCCAACCCGTTACTAGCATGGGGTACCTAATAAAGTGGCAGGTGAGTGTATATCTTTTTCTACTCTGGTTAGAGCCTGTTTGTGCTGTACTCTGAAGGGAGTAGTACACATCGTTGTAGGAAATCTTCAATTTCTTACCGATATCTCTAATGGAATAGCCTTCATTTCTTAGAACAACAATAGACTGTCGAGTTTCAGATGCAAGTTCTCTTTTTCTGGCCATTATGAACGTTTAATTGACCCCACAAATGTGATGCTCCAGAAAGTCAATCTGCTCAAAGGAAGGTCAGTTTTGTAGCTTCTGTAATGAGCTAAACTGTTTTCAGATGTGTGAACATGATTGCACAAGGGTTTTCTAATCATCAATTAGCCTTCTGAGCCAATGAGCAAACACATTGTACCATTAGAACTCTGGAGTGATAGTTGCTGGAATTGGGCCTCTATTCAACTATGTAGATAATGCACCAAAAACCAGACATTTGCAGCTAGAATAGTCATTTACCACATTAGCAATGTATAGAGTCTATTTCTTTAAAGTTAAGACTAGTTTAAAGTTATCTTCATTGGAAAGTACAGTGCTTTTCCTTCAAAAATAAGGACATTTCAATGTGACCCCAAACTTTTGAACGGTTATGTATATAGATTGTACATCTGAAAGTGTGCAATGGTGTAATGACACAACAATAGGCCTGTGAGCAACATTATCTGGGTGGGCCCCATATGAGGCAGAACCCCATCCACCTCTCCCTCTTCAGTTCTTTGAAAGAACGTGTTTATTTTGGGAAGTTTTTTCCGTTCTTCCAGCAGCTCTTCTTTCCCTCTTCTTTTCAGGAATCCGCTTAAGTTCCTCTTTTTGTTATCCATCGTAACAGTTATGGTTTTAATCTACGCTCTGGATTACCCATAAATCCAAGTCGTTTAGTAAAAAATAAAATACTCAAATACATCAATCTTTTAATCTCTTTATTGCGGTTTGAAACATATTATATGAGTGTATTTTTTAACAACCGTCTAATGAACTATACACAGTTATTAACATAGTAATTAAAAGTACTGCTTTGCTGTTGGTGTCGTGTTTAAACGGCCTAACATCATGGTGAAATCTGCCATATGTTGAGATATAAATATTAAGAGGATAAATATTAAGAGGATTTTTTCACACCATTACATTTTCAAAGAGACGTCCTAGTCTATAATTGAGTAGGGAGCCAAACAGGTGTCAGTGAGAGCCTGTCTTTAACAGTTTAACCTTGTAATGCCAAATGTATCGTATTTGATACATACGGTTTCTGGGTATTTTTTGCGTCTGACACCTTTTGCATAATTTAATGGTAAAAACTTTGCTCAAAATCCTATTGTGCACAATCAGATATACCTGATAACAGAGGGCAGAAGACTATACAAAAAAATTATCTTGACTTATCGCATAGTAATAAATTATTAATATCAAAAATGTATTTCTGTTTTTTTCTTTTTACATATTTTGTTAAAAGGCCAAATAAGGACTTCAAACCAAAAAAAAGTAATTTTCTGTTTTGTTTTATTCTTGGATCGGGCTTTAAAGGGTTAAACTGGCCTGTTTTTGTTTTGGTCCCATGGACCGTATGCATACATGCAGAAGTTAACCAGAAGGTGGCAACATTGTAACTAGTTGCACATAAAGTAACTCCAGAAACAGAAAAGAAAAAAAAAAAAAACTCAATGTGATAAACCTGGGGTTTTATTTAGCATTATGTAATTATTTTATGTATACATCAAGTTATAAACTATATAATTTCCTCCTTTTTTCCATCGATGACCAGGCTCCAGGCCGATAGGTGGCGCTGAATACACTTTAAGTTGTTTTGCCAACTGTAAAAGAATAAAAGAGAATAAGACAGCGTGATGAAACTTCCTCCATGCTCTCCAATCCCCCCATAGAGCAGGTATGAAACATTAATGCTATGTTTTTAAATAACTGGTTATCTTCAATGTTTTAAATCTGCATCAGCGCGCGCATAAATCTGGGATCTTCCGGTTCCTGTAGTCAGGAAGCTAACATGCTAAGTAGCTGTTCATGTTTTAGCCGAAAGCAGGAAACGTTTGCTGGATCAATCTAAGATTAAATCTGCGGAAAGTTTTCTGTTCTCACATTAAGATCTGAATGTAACTTTATCAGATAACGCAGAGGTTTATCTTCCATTAATTCTATGTTTCGTGAAATAGCAAAATGATTCCCATCGATAAAAACCAGTTCAGTTTCAGTTATAATTTAATAACCTTTAGATCGGATGTTTTTTTTTTCTTTTCAATCTGTTTCTGGTTTAAAGAAGATATTTGTTTTTAAAAAAGATAAACACGTTTATTGGTAATGAATTAGCTCCTGTAATTAGGGAGAATAGGAAAAGAAATAATTAAATAGTCCAGGACATGAATGTGGGATTAAATTATTCCCCATTAAAGGTGAAACAGAAGAAAAATGTGGACTCCCTGAAAACCCCATAAACAGCTCGATATGGAAGAGGATTAGAGCCACTGGAAAAATAAAAGTTAACTGATTTTTTTTATTTGACTTCAGTATAATATGAGAAAAGGTTAGAATTCTGACTTTAATCTCAGAATTGTGACTGAATTCTGACAGCTAGCAAACATGTTAACATCAAGCTGTAGCCATGTCTGTTTTAGAGACTAGCTCTATTGTTTTCATCAGCTTCTGCTCTTCCATAATGAAACAGCATCACCAGGGACCCAAGTTGCCTAATTTCATCATTTTTTACCAATGTGTCACTGTTCCTCCCAAACTACTCACATCTTTGTCAGTGAATCTGAGTGTTCCACATCTCTGCCTTCATGGTGCCCATCTACATTAAAATCCAAAATTCTGAGATTAAAGTCTGCATTCTGAGATTAAAGTCTGCATTCTGAGATTAAAGTCTGCATTCTGAGATTAAAGTCTGCATTCTGAGATTAAAGTCTGCATTCTGAGATTAAAGTCTGCATTCTGAGATTAAAGTCTGTATTCTGAGATTAAAGTCTGAATTCTGACATTAAAGTCTGCATTCTGACATTAAAGTCTGAAGTCTACTTTAGCTGTTTCCTAAAGTAGACCGGACCAAATTAATTCTGTCTTATATGTAAAGGGATGCTGTTGATGTTCACAGGTTCAACAGACACCATGGATGTGCTGTATAGTCCTCTGGGCTGGGGCGTCGTCGCCGGGCTGGGCTGCGGACTCCTCCTAGGCTGGCACCTCCGCACGCGTCTTGGCCCCATATCCAAGAGCCTGATGAAAGCGATGGGGAACGGCACCGAGGAGGCCAGCGTGATGGGGGAGGGAGGGGAGTTCAAGATGGTTCTGGTGGTCCGGAATGACCTGAAGATGGGCAAAGGGAAGGTGGCGGCTCAGTGCTCTCATGCTGCAGTGAGCGCCTATAAGCAGGTTCAGCGCAGGAGTCCTGAGCTGCTCAAACAGTGGGAGTACTGCGGCCAGCCCAAGGTGGTGGTGAAGGCCCCTGATGAGGACACCCTGATAGATCTGATGGGCCGAGCCAGGGAGGCGGGACTCGCCGTCAGCCTCATCCAGGATGCAGGAAGGACACAGATTGCACCCGGCTCTCGCACCGTGCTGGGCGTCGGTCCTGGTCCAGCGGATCTAGTTGACAGCGTCACTGGAGAACTGAAGCTCTACTAAAGTTGTTCTTTGTTTTTTAAATATACAATTGCATCTTCCAAACAAGAACTATCATGACATTTTTTTTTGTGAATATTAATGCGGATCTGTTTTGTAATTAAATTTAAACGATGACCTACAGAAAGAACAGACTTTATATGTGATTTGTTAAATAAAATAATAATGGGTTCAATTACCAATATTTAGCTTTATTTGATTAACTAATTAGACAACAAAAGGTTCTTAATAGAGTTTTAAAAGAATTTTATACAAATTAAGCTAGAACTGACATTTGTACAATTTGTCTACCTTTAATATAAAATGTGTCTATATATTTTGTTGAACAGTTTTGGTTTAGTTATTGCCTTAAATGTCCTTCTTTCTGCAGATGTTATGTTTAATAGTCCTTTGAACCATCATTACTTTGGTTTATAGCATGTGGTGGTAAGCTTAAAGAGAACTTCAGGAATTATCTAGTGAGCTGTTTTACCCAGAGTCCGACTAAAACGTTTTTGGAGCCAAAAATATAACAAACAAAACTTATTTTTAATATCTGCTGTTAGAGAGGGTGCCATTTTAAACAAATAGTTTCTCTTGGCTCTTTTAGGTTGTAAAACAAGGGAAACCATAAAATATTTAATAAAAAGGAAGCATAGATGTTCTATAAGATATTTGATGTATATAAACAAAATAGATAAAACACATTTCTGCTACTTTCAATGTTCTTTAATAGTTAGAATTACATTCAAATGTTAAACTTATCATTTTTAGCCAAGCTGTTTAAATAACCTATGAACCAAATCACTCTGGTCTGCTATCAGTCAGTTTTCCATATCTATTTGTTTCCATGAATCCTTTTTAGTTGAAGCAGAATTGTTTCAACTCTAGTTAATATGCAGAGGCTTGGATTTGTTTTCTGCTGCTGGTGTGAAATATGGTGGCAGCATCATTCTGTGGGGTTGATGGTTAATTCATGTCAATCAGGTGTGTGAAAGGGTGAGACTGCCGAAGCAAACGTACCCTTATTTTCATTTAAAAAGGTATGGAGTGAATTATGGTTCATTACTGCTGCAAGCAAAGGACACCAATGTTTTTTTTTTCCTCAAAGATGTTTTTAAAACTTTTCTTTCCGATTATGCTTTTAGATGGAGTTTTACAATTTACCTTCTTTTCAAATTGCGATATACGGATCACATTCTCCTTACTTCAAGGCTAATAAAACACTTGTTCTCTTCCATGCAACAAATAAAATTGCATCCTCACTCCACAGGAAAGACAGACCACCAAAAATGAAGAGATTAAATGTCCAATTTCTGAAAAAGAAATTTGAAAGAAAAAAAAAAATCTGAAGCAAAATTTGGAAAAATTAGAGGAAAAAAAGTTTGATAAGTTGCTTTCTTACTTGGAGCACTTCTCCTGAAGTACCAGCAGAGGGCACTAGAGCCTCAGATTTTAAATCAAAATTTTAACAAAGGTGTTCTGTTCAAGGCAACCTTCAGCACCTCATTCATGATTTGGGAGTTACTAATCTAGATTATTTCTACATTTTTTCTGCAACTTAAAAACCATCACATCACAAAACCATTACAATTTTAATGAATTTTTAATTAACCAACCATCAGAAGCCCCTGGACTGGGGAAGGACTGTGTTTAAAACAGAAGAACACTTTGGCTCACTGGATAATAATCCACGTTTTTTTTTTTTACATTAAAATTAATATTTTTGTGAATTAAGGTCCACGATTCTTGAGTAAAAATACAGAATCCATTGAAGGCCAGGTTGAAGATGTGTGACATCTGCTGGTGTTGGTCATTTAAATCATTATTAATGGAGTGGATTATATTCCATGGTAGCAGAAGAAAAAAATACCTTTTGAAAATTTGAAGAAAAAAAGAAAAGAAAAAAAAAGCAATCCAAAAGGGATGTTTTTAAGTCATTTTGATTTTAAATTTTCCAATATTCTTCAAAATATTTTATTTAAATGTTTCCATTGTAATTTAAAAAAAACATTTTTAAATTTAGTTTTATGGATTACATTCCGTCCGAATAGATTTTTACAGATCTAATTATTTTCATTTGGAGGGTTGGCCATCTTCTGTAGCAAAGATGAGTTTCTATCAGTCTGCATGGAAATTAACATTTTTATTGCTCAGTGTGCATCAAGCGTGAGCATTAATGGGTTTGAAGTGAATGTGATCAGTAAAATGCTTTCAAAAGGATGCTATTCGTAAACCTCAACCTGAAAATTGTAAGATAAATCTATAAAAAAAAAAATTATATAAATTAAAAAGTAAATGAAAATGGGGGAAAAAAATAAAAATCAGAGAAAACAGCAAAGTTACTCTTTGAAGTCCTTCAGGGTTTCATTTCATTTTCACAAGTTCTTCCTCTTTTCCAGATAGTGGAATAAAAGTCACTCCATAAATAATTTGGGTTCATCAGAAGCTGTTCAGACTGATATGGAGAACGGAACATGTAACAGTTATGGAAGATAAAAACAAAAACATTACAATAACTAAACAGCGACAGCAGCTTTGAACAACAAGCCTTTATTTTATTTTTTAAGTGGAAACAAAACAGCTGTTTCATTCATTAGGATTCCTGATTATGCACAATCAAGTATCGTAAGTGCACAATTTAAATCTAAGGTAATTTAGATAAGAATATAAGGAGTTAATGATTGATTTTCTGTATACAAGCAAGCCTTTAGTAAAAACGTCAAACCCCCCCCCCCGCTTAATGTTTGGACATAGTTTAAGGTTTGGAGGAGCAGGTCAACTGAAAACTTTAAATGCAACCCAGAACAGGACACACGAAGAAGAAAGTGGAGGAAACGTCTCCATCAGACTCTGCAGCACTGAGCAAACAGATTGGGGGGGGGGGGGGGGGGGGGGGGGGGGTGTTAGTCACACACACACACACACAGGTCTGCAGTCCCTCCTGAGGCAGAATGGTCCCGTGTTAAAGCAGTGTGTAAAGCACATGGAAATGTTTGGAGAAGAGCTGAGTTTGGAGACTTCTGCATAGGCATTACTGGAAAGAATCAAACTTTCCTGGACATCAACGTTTGTAAAATAGTTTTTAGATTTTATTCAACCATCAGTCCTGAAGAGTGAGCATGGGACCGTGACTCAGAACGTAGTGTTTCAGGATTATGGTTGTGAAAGCATTCTGATGTTGCAAAATGACAAAGACAAAAAAAAAAAAAAAAAGCACACGTCAGCAGTTTTGGTGTCTGGATATATTCTACAATTCAACGCATTGTACAGTCAGAGAAAATGAAGCCGCTCAGACAAACAGGAAAAGGTTTCTTCTCGCTATAGAGTGCAAATCAGATGCTTCACAACAGACCTTAAATGTGAGGAGAGGACTGGCTCTCCTCCACAAGCCCACCCATTCTACATTAAACCATTTCCCATTCAAATAAAATACAAGAAATTAAGCTAATCAATACGGAATGTGAGAAAATTTATCGGATTTCATCCTTTTGACAAAATAAACTTTGAGTCCTTCATGACAGCTTAAAAAAAACAAAACGAAGAAAAATAATAAATGTTTATCAGGATCATCCCCCTGCTGCTGGTAGGAGGCGGGGACATGATGAAGGACTGAAGGAGGTGGATGGAGCCTGGAGGTGGACAGATGGGAGAGGCGGCGTCTTCACATGCCGTAGCCGAAGCCCGGCTGAGCCGCTGGTGGAACGAAGCCTGCAGGCGCCTGGTAGCCATAGCCGTACGCCTGCTGCGGGGCCACTGGTACGCTGGGGCCTGCCGTCAGCATCAGCTGGGGCGTTCCTAAACCACACCAAAGGTTTTAGCTCCAATATCAATAATATATTATATAATAATATAATTATAATCCTGTTACCGTAGACGATGGGTTGCGTTTCTGTCGCCTGCTCCTCTTCTTTTCTTAGGGACTCTGAGGTTTCAAGCTTGTCTACCTGTATTGCAGAGAAATAAATTGTATTTAGGGATGAAAATCAATACTTTGCCGCCAAAGAAAACAGGCTGACAGACATTTTAACAGAGCAGGTGTTTCCTTTAGATCCTCAACCTTTAAGGCAGGAGTCTGCAACCTTTAACACACAAAGAGCCATTTTGGTCTGAATCCAGCTGAGATGCTTTAGGGACATAAATCATATGTGTTTATCGATTAAACTCAACTAATTAGTTTTGTTAAAGATCTGATAAAGGAAATCTGTTGCCATTTTAAACAACCAACAGTTTATTTGTATACAATCTCTATATGTATAGATATAAGGGATGGTTTTCTATTATTGGATATTATTTGATCAAAATATAAAAACAAAACTTAGAAGCCAACAAGAAAAAGTAGATCAAAACTAATTTCTGGTTCTTTGAACATTCTGTTATATTGTAATACAATATTCTTATAAAACCTCATGTCCGTACCCGATCTGTGTGGGAAGCACGATCCGTCCTGCGCATGCGTCGTGAGCAGAATAACTAAAAAACTTCGTTTTTCTTACTTTATTCTTTTGTCTTTTTCAGGCAGGGGGTTCCTTTTGGATATTTTTGTATTTGCATAAATATTGCATGTTCTAAAAAAAAAAAAAAAAAAAAAAATGCAATAAACTTAAATAGCCTTTTGAACGTTACAGTGACTGATCTGAGCATGTCCGAAGATATCAGCCAATATAATGGAGAGAATGTAAAACGTATCCATTTGTTCCAGAAAAGTCTTCAATATTTTCTATACGATGTAGTTTAATTCTTTAATGTTTTAAGTATATGAATAGGTATTTTCAGTACCATTATTACGTAGTTTTTCTGCGATCCAGATCTTATTCTGTTTGCGCATGCGCAGGATGGTTCGTGTTTCCTGGACGGATCGGGTAGCGACAACCCACACTACAGCTTCTTAGACTGCTATTTATTATTAGACTACATCTGTTGGTTCTTTACATCATTTTAGGCCACTATTAGGATCCATTTTAGAGGTTCCCAAGAGCCACGGGTTGTAGGCCCCTGCTTTATGGTAAACAGACTCTTATCTAGTCATTATCTGCTTGCAAAGATTTAAAATCCAACTGGTTTTTAATCAAAGACAAGGCCTGATCTCATGCCACCTATTTTATCTTTCAGCTCTGAATATGCCATACCCTGTATTAGTTACAGCTATATTACTGAGAGGGATCAGAACCAGTGAAAATGAAATGAGGCTGAATAAAACTCT